CAGGGCTGCCTCGCTCTTGCACTGGAGTCGCTTTGGCACAAGCTAATGGGAAGCAGCACCAGGCATGTGCTGGGTCATCTGCCTGGGGAATGTATTTCCCCCTTGGGGATTTTGCATGCTGCTGCCTCGGTGCTCTCCTGAAACTCGTCAGTGGGGCACTGGTAACAGCAGCCCTGCCTCCTGACGAAGACTGGAGGAGACAGGCCCCAAGAAATTAGATTTTGCAAATGCCAGTAGATTTGGGGTATCAGGATTTCCCCCTGGGGCCCTGGGGAGGGGCAGTTTCACTGAGCATCTGCACGGACGGACGGATGGACACCCACCTGCTTGTTGGCCAGCACAATCAGGGGCAGCCGGGGCTCTGCAGCCAGCAGCGTGTGCAGCTCCTGGCGCGCCGTCAGCAGGCGTGACCTGTCCACCGAGTCCACCACGAACACCAGCACGTCAGCCTGGCTCAGGTAGTGGGGCCAGTACGCTCGCAGGTTCTGGCTGCCGCCCACTGCGGGAGACGGGCAGGATCAGGCATCGGCGTGGGGGTGAGCGAGGCTGCCATCTCCCTGTAGCACCCCGGGGAACCAGACCTCTTTGCCCGGGATGCTCTGCACCCCCAGCCTGGTGCCGGCAGGTGGGGGAACCCTCCGGGCCGTGCAGGCTCAGCCCCGGGGGAGGCAGCGGGGCCAGGCCAGCCTTACCCTCCAGCAGGTCCATCTCCAGCCCCTCGACGTAGAGCTGGACAGAGTTGAAGCCGTGGGTGGGTGCGATGCGCTCCCTGGCCGTCTGGCTGCAGATGTAGTGCAGGACGCTGCTCTTCCCGGCCCCGTCCAGTCCCAGCACCAGCACCTGCCTCCAGTCCAGCTGCGGGGACACAGGAGGGGGTGGGGGCCGGCATCCGGACCAAGGGGCTCCAGCCCCCCCTGAGCTCTCCCCGGCCCCGTCCAGTCCCAGCACCAGCCCCTGCCTCCAGTCCAGCTGCGGGGACACAGGAGGGGGTGGGGGCCGGTCTCAGGACCCGCAGCTCCGTGCTCAGGCAGCTGGTTGAGGGACCAGCCCGGAGCGAGGGGTCCTGCCAGTCCTTGCAGCCCTTGCTCCAGCCCGGTGGGCTCCAGGGGTGGTTCAGACGGGGGACCCCTTCCCCAGCAGGACGGGCTGCAGTAGGAGTCCCCAAGGGCCATCATCCTGCGGAATATCCTGGGGAATCCAGTCTGACCGGCTCTAGGGGATCCTGGTGCGAGATCCCAGGGGTACCCCGACCCTGCACCCCCTTCCCCAGCCCCACGTGCTCAGGGGGATCCGGCTGGCGATCCAGAGCCTTCCCCAGCCTGGTGACCACAGGGGCGATCCCGACCCCCTGCCCCTTCCCCAGTCTGACGGGTCTCGAGGATCTGAGGAACCCGGAAAGATCCCGATCCCCTGCCCCGTCCCCCTCCCTCGTTGGGCTCGAGGAGATCCCGGTAAGGGGCTCCCGGTATAGGGGTTCCCGGTCTAGTGGATCCCGAGGAGATCCTGATCACAGGAGATGAGCCGGGGGTCCCGGCGAAGCTCTGTCCTCCCCT